TTATCTCAGAGTTTGGTTGACAGTCAAGTGTCTCTGTTGTTCTTTCCTACAGCTATTTACTTAGAAATTAGTAGTGTAACAAACAAAACATTTTTATTTAAGATGTGTGTTCTATAAGTCTAGACCATATGTAGTAGATATAATGTCTTCCTTTCATAAATAGTTTTGTAATTATTCTGGAACTTGCAATTATTCTGGAATTTGTATTTCCCCAGTGTGTATATGTGCCTCAAAGTCACCTGTCCACTTACAGCGACCCCATGTGTTTCATAGAGTTTTCTTAAACAAGACATAATATTGCCAGTTTTCTCCTCTGAAACATAATCTACAGCAGTGGTGTCAAATTTGTGGTTCTCCATGTGTTTGCAGAATTCCTGACCATTGATAAGCTGGCCAGGGTTTCTGGGAGTTGGAGTCCCAAACACCTGGGGGACCAAAGGTTGGACATATTTGATATTTCTGATATTTTTCTCCAGTTGTCTTTATTGAGCACATGGATTGTGCATGTTGAATTCTATGGACTTTGGTTATGAGTAGGAATTGCATTGAGTGGATCTGATCCAAGTATGACTACATTGGGGTGTAACCCATTAATTGCATTCTTAATTAAATAATATCTTAATGTAAACCTCATACCCTAGATTCAGCTATTCAAACAACACTGAGTTTCAAGCTGTGTATTTAATTTGTTTTTTAAAGAACAATCACTTAGCAAAAGCTGGATTTTATTAGCAAAATAAAAACTTGATTTTAATTTTTTATTATTTAGTTATTTGACAAACAAGGACTGTGGTAACCTCATTTTGAAAATTAAATTGAAGCAACAGTAGGAAGTTTTATAGTTGCAAAGTACTGATGCAAAGTGTGTGAATAAGCATTGACAGTAAGAATGAAAATCAGTTAGAATTAATTTCTTGTTTAAGAGAAGATGAAATGAATTCCCATTTCATTTCATTTGATGAAGTGAAATGGGAATTTAAAAACATGTTCGACTTGGACAACTGCAAAGTTTTGGTCCTATTAAATCGCCCAAACTGGGGATTAGAAAACTGGTCGCTCACAAAGCAAGTTTAATTTGTTCACATCTTTTTGCATGCCTCATCCTTTTCAATGAAATTATAGTAGTATGATGTAACAATGTTTAGAAATTGATTAAGAAAGGCCTGACTTTTTCACTTGAGGATTATGAGTAAGTAAAAGTGATCTTCGTGTATCAGAAGTGGCTGGTGGAGAGTCTTAAAAACTGGAACCTGATAAGTTGAAAAAAAGTTTTTAGGTTTAAGGTATCTGGAAACTAATATTGTAATGAATTAATCACTAGGTTTTAAAGTCTCAAAGTGGAATTAAGAAGTAAGAAATAAAAAAGATCATCCCAGTTTCATTCTGACAATATTTTGTGTCAAGGTGTCTGCTTTCATAGTGTTACAAATTGTGCCTAGGCAATTTGTTATCCACATTTCATTATGTTGCATTTTGTTTTACATTTTGTAAATAGCAAAGAAAACATGTTAAATGAACCATTACAAATACAAACATTTCAGTTATTCATATATATATATATATATATGAATGTACAAATCGAACTCATATATATGTCAAAGACAAGTTTGGGGGCCAGAATTATGGGTCTAAATATGACCAATGGATAAGGCAAGAGATAATCTGCAAAGAGAGGAGAAAGACCCAGCACTGCATTCATAGGCATGGTGCTGTCAATTTCCTGCCCATGCATTCAGAAAGGCGGTTTTCCACTCAGCTTGAAGAACAACAAAGAAACCATCCCCTTCTTTGACTTGAGTGACAAAAGGCGAGAGCGTAGTCCATCCCAAGAGAATGTAAAAGATCCTGTATTCTCTTAATCATGGAGCCATATCTGTTCTTTTTTAATGTTTGGGAAGGAAATACTTAGCGGCAACTCTTTGTCGTTTCTCAAAGGACCACTGAGAGGTTAGAAAGACTTGGTGCTTCTTTTAGGTTTTCCAAGGATGGGTTAAGCTCTCATCTTTCACCACTCTACTCAGAAAAGGAGATGGTTCATATGTACAGGTCCAATACTAACAATTATCACAAATCCCTTGTATCTGAGTATGATTGCTTTCCAAGTGTAAGGTCTTGGCAGTGGGTCCAGTCTGCAGGTGACAATCCTAATCCTAACCATATCATAGGATATCACTCATGGCTGAGTATGATTGCCTTCCAAGTGTAGGGTCTTGATTATGGGTCTCATATTCTTGATCTGCATGTTCTTTTGCAGTGAGGGCATCGATTTCCAGATAGAAGGTGGTCCCGACATGGGTTGGTTTGATGTGCCTTCATCTTGACACATTTCTCCCTTTTGCCCTCCATTCTTCTTCTAATTCCACAGCACTGTTGTAGCAGCTGACCTCCAGTTAGAATGCTCAAGGGACAGGGCTTCCCAGTTCTCCATGTCTATGTCACAGTTTTTAAGGTTAGCTTTAAGCCTGTCTTTAAATCTATTTTCCGGTCTACCAACATTCCATTTTCCATTCTTGAATTGAGAGTATAGTAACTGCTTTGGGAGATTGTGATCAGACATTCAGACGTGGTCAGTCCAGCCAAGTTGATGATAGATCATCGCTTCAATGCTGGTGGTCTTTGTTTCTTCCGGAACATTGACATTTTTCTGCCTGTTTCCCCAAAAGATTTGCAGGATTTTTCAAGGCAACGCTGATGGAATCATTCCAGAAGTTGAGTGTGATGTCTTTAGACAGTCCATTTTTCACAGGTGTATAACAGGGTTGGGTGGACAATAGCTTTATAAACAATCATCTTGGTATCCCTACAAATGTCCTGATCTTCAAACACCTTCTGCTTCATTTGAAAAACTACTGTGCTCACATAGCTCAGATGGTGTTGTATTTCAGTGTTGATGTGGACTTTTGTGGAGAGGTGGCTGCCAAGGTAGCGAAAATGACCAGCATTTTCTAATGTTACACCATTAAGCTGTATTTCTGACACGGACCCATGGATAAGTTGACTCTTTTAAAAAGATTAATATTTTCACTAAGGTTTTTAGACATATACATGACTATATAGTTTAAATCCATTTGTGGCTGTTGTATGCTTTAAAGTTGTTTCCAATTTATGGTGACCTTATTATGGGTTTTTTAAAGCAAAATTTGTTCAGAGGACATGACGTGTCACCTCAGAGGGTTTCCATGGCTGAGCACGATTCAAACCATCGTATTTCAACATAATAGTCCAACACTTATACAACTATGCCATGTGGCTCTATGTAAGCCCAATTTTAGTTCATTGTAAAGTAGACCTTTTGAACAAAAATTGAAATAACATCGCCATTGTGATAAATCCCACTGATTCTAATGGGGCTAGCTGGAATTATAGTTTTATCGGTTAACGTTTATACTATTTTATCGTTTGAATAACCTTTATGTAGAAAGAGATGGAAAGACTAGATAAAGGTCACCCATAAAGCTTCATGTGTAAGTGGAGATTTGGACTTGGTCTTCTCAATATGAACCAATGCTTTAATAGCCATTGCAACATGGCGCTTAACTCTCCTTGAAATTAGTTAATCTTCAGTGCATACCTAAGTGCTTTATCTTTTCTTTTCGTTCAGTATAATTATAAAACCCACTCAAACCACAACACCAGGTTTTTATGCACTATAGCTATATAAAAATAAATGTTTGTTTATACTTTTATGAGTATGCATTTGAACATAAATTCCTCATCATGGGTAAAGGAGGGCTATAGTCTCTGTCATCCTATTTAATGCATGTTGAGACATAAAGATTAAAAAAGGTTAGATACCGCTAGCAAACTACCAGTAAACAAGTATGAATTCACTTTCAGATATTATATGAGCAGAGTTCTTCAATCATGAAAGCATATAATACCAATGTATGGTATGATACCCACACATAGGTCTATATAAGGGATGGGCAATGTGTGGCTCACTATATATGTTGGAATATATTAGAATGGAATTCAGCAAGAGCAGATCAGTCAAACTTCGAATAGTAATGACCTCAATTCAATTCTTTGTGCAATTAGAATAGATGTTTTGACACTTATGTAAAGTCTATTTGTACAATGGCGCTACTGTACTTGAGACTGTTTGCAAGACATAGTTAAAACCTTCTTAACTTAGATAACTGCATGTATGAATCCATCTGGATGCAAGTCATCTCGTAGAATCAAACATTTGCAACATGAGTCTAGGAATTGCTTGACTGGCAGTGTTCCAGCCTATTCTTTTCCAAATTATATCCATATGGTGTGGTAAAAGTTATGGGTTTTTTTTTTGGGGGGGGGGGGGATAAAAAAAATCTTGTAAATCATCCATTTAAATAACAATAAAATTATAGGCCAGAAAAATTCAACAAGGTTTTAATGAACCTGGATTCACTGAATTAAGGGTATGACAGAATAGTCTGTTTTGGGCCGTGCAAGCTGAGAGGAATAATTACCAAGGTCACTGATTTTTTGTTGTTCTTGCTGTTTCTGATTTTGTTAATGTGTAAAAGAATTATTTTTACATGATCCATAAGCATGATATAATTAGTGTGCCATAGCTACAAAGGCCCCAGTGGGTGGTCAGTAATGTGAGATAATTGGTATGAGACAATAACAAGATCCCTGCTGCTTATTTTGTTTTCCTATCCCACTGTGTCTGATAGTTTACAACATGTGTGAATGTTTTGTGTACCCAAATTTGTGAACATCAGAAAGTCATATATTAAAAAAAACCCAGAAAAGATGCTGGTGACACAAAGCTGTACAAAGAATTCTGGCCACTGGAGCTGCAATGTCTATTTCAAATAGCAATGATTGTCTGAGATAACATGAGATGTTCTTTTTCTACCTGAGTCTATGACAATCAGCAGGCAAAGTACATGCTTCATCACAAAGTTTGGATCCACCCTGCTTCCTACATTTTCTCTTCACTAGGTATTCTTTGAACGGAACATTGAAGAATTTAATTAACTCATGGCTATGTTTCTCCTTTCTTTCAGGACAATTTGAAACTTCAAGAGACCATAGGTTTGGCTGCTTCACTTATCACAGCCTTAATAAGGGACAGAAATCCCATCTTTGTTGGCCAGATTCTAGTAGCATGAAAAAGAATAACCAATATTTCAGGAGATTTTCTCCAATTTTTCAGATTTCTTTTTTTTAAAAAAAAAACCTTCTGCGTTTATGTTCACAAAAAGGGGAAGAAAACCAAACGTGTTAGGAAGAAAACGACATTATCTACAAATATGCAGATTGTTTCAGCAGAAACAGTAGTCTGACTGAAATAAAATTCAGAAAAATGACCGAGTGTTTCCCAAAATATCTGGTGTGAGGGACCAGCATTTTTCCCTTAAAGTTCTAGAAGATGGTATCTTATTTGTGCTATTAATAGCATCATGGCATCAATCTGCAGACTCCCATTCTGAGCAGCACTGTATTGAAAATCTGTTTCTGTAAAAAGAAAATTGAGACTTTTGAAAAGAAGCACACCTAGGTACTTTGGATGAAACTATTAATATATAAGAGGGATATTTTATGTGAAATATATTTACTATAAGTACAGAAAGTTAAATTGTATGCTGCCTTGAAAGCCTTTGGGCACAGAAAATAATGATGATACATGAAAAGTATAGGGTTTTTGTGTTCTAACAAGACATAAATGTGGAATGAATTAAAGTCTGTAGGGTCTGAGCATGCCCAACTTTACTATTCTCAAAAAAAAAAACCAAAAAACCATGAGGAGATATAAGCATCTATGTAACCTACCTTTTGGAATAAATGCAACTATTTTTATTGTTTGGTGCGTGTTTACTTAGGACTAAGTTTAGTGGGAATTGTGATCTGTGTGGGGATGACTTCTGGAATTTCCATGGGAGTTTGGGGGCCAGCACTGCTGCAAATTGGCCCTTACACTTTTAAAGATTTTTGTTTTGTTTTTTTAAAAATGGTCATATGCTATGGGGCACTGGTACCCCAATAACTATTCAGCCGTGTTGTCTGAACGCCCGACCACCGTCTCCCAGAGCAGTTGCTCTACTCAGAAGTCAAGAACGGAATGTTGGAGGACAGGAAAAGAGATTTAAAGATGGGCTCAACGCCAACCTTAAATACTCTGGCATAGACACTGAGAACTGGGAAGCCCTGGCCCTTAAGCACTCCAGCTGGAGGTCAGCTATGACCAGCGGTGCTGTAGAATTTGAAGAGGCATGAATGGAGGGTGAAAGAGAGAAACGTGCCAAGAGGAAGGCACATCAAGCCAACCGGGACCGCCTTCCGTCTGGAAACTGATGTCCTCACTGCGGGAGAACATGCTGGTCAAGAATAGGGCTCCACAGTCCCCTACGGACCCACGGCCAGTACACCGATCTTGGAAGACAATCCTACTCGGACAACAAGGGATCGCCTAAGTAAGTAAGTACCCCAATAACAACATAGGGAGCAGAAAGCATGCCCCTGATAACGTTTTTTCCACCTCAGCTTACACAAGCAGGAGATTCCTTTCAGGTTTGCTTGTGTTTTATATAAGACAAGATGAGAATTGTGGAAGGGCCAGGAGCTGCATTCTGACTACATTATAACAGAAGTTGTCTAGTAAACCATTTTTACTGCCAATTGTTGCTAATTGTCATTGCGTTAGTATAGACTTATAGTGCCCCTATGAATGAGACCTTCAATATAACTTGTTACTTTACAGTATCTAGAACAGATAGTACTTCCCTCTCAATTTTCATGTAATGTTTTGGTTGTGCTTTTAAGAACAGTGCATCGATCGCATTTGAGAGCTTTTCTACACTAACGAAAAAAGTTCTGGACTGACTCTGAATGGATGTCTGGCGGTCTCCATGATGCACAGCTATGTCCATTAGGTATCCTAGAGGGTTTTTAAAGGGACTTTATTTCACTTTGAGCAGAGTTTTGGGGGTACTTCAGAGATTGCTGCAAACTCTTGGGTATCCCATAGCTTCAGAGACTCTGGAAAACTTGATTGCGTCTGATTCAACCAAATCTCCATACTGAACACTGGTGTCATCACTCTTTCCCTATCAGCGCAGGGAAAGGGGATGTATCATGGCCACATCACTTTCACTACTCCTAGTGCCCACAACAGCCAGGAGCACACAATTAAGCTTGACAGTGACATGGATGTGAGAGACAGACCATCCCAGTGGAGTGGATGTGCCTCCTGTCCACCTGAATAAGGCCCTGGATTCCGCATGAAAGTGCCAGATCCCGGGCTGCTTTGGGGTTTATTTACACCAGATTAAATTTCCTGGTGTAGACACACCCTTAGTCTGTCATATAAAGTTTTGAGCTTCCTTAAATAATCACATGTTGGCCTTCTTCCTTGGAGTCTTATGGCTAGTTGCTTCTCTGAGACTAATTTATATCCTATTAAGTATGAATGAGCTAACACCGATTGTGTTTATGTTCTTCAAATGAATGTTTTCATACAATGTATAAATATGTGTGTAAAGGGAATGGAAACAAATCTGGTTAATGTTTAATAGGCATTACATAATTTTATGTGCTTACATAGTTATTCATGCACAACCTATTTGAGGTTGACTTAAAGTTTATTAGTCATTTTCACATATTCTTTTGAACATCTGGAAAGGAATAACAAATGCTTATATTTTGACCCCTTTTGTCATATGCTTGGGTGCAGTTTTGTTTAATGCACTTAGCTCACTAATTATGCCAGAGCTGATTGAACAATCACATCATTTTTGTGCAGTGATTCCAACTTTCAGGTCATTGTTGCTGAGAAATTTTTGCCTTTGCTCCAAGGAATATAGAAAAACAAAAGCATGTACTAGGAAGCAGAGGTGAAAAAGCCTCCTTGGGAAGGCTAGTATGTTTCAGGTGTTTAATATTGCAGCTCCCCTAATAACTGACCCCTCATCATTGACCATGTTGGTAGGGGCAACTGAGAGTTACTGTTAAAAATGTCTAGAGAGTACCGGGTTACCTATATATATCTATAGGACATTTCACCATATGAAGTAACAGAGAACTATTAAAGCAAACAAATGAGATACTATGAATAACTGCCTTAGAGAGACTCTGATGTGTTATTTTCTTGTGCTTCAAAGATAACAACTAGCTTGCCAATTTTCTTATGCATAGTTGTGCAATTCCAGTTGAGCTCCAACAGTCTCCAACATGGGACAATCACACAGAATAGATATTCTGAAGTTTTTTTTCCTAAAAGAAATTACAAACATTGTGAGTACATTTATCTTTACTAAAATATACATCAAAATCTCAGAAGGATTAACTGAATCCAAAACGTACCTTGGCTGAGAAATCATAAGGCAGTCATTAGATAAGCCACTCTCAGCTCCTTGTTTGCCACATGGGATTAGTATGGGCATATAGGGTTGTTGTACACAAACCAAGTTTGTGTTCAAATGATTACACATGCAGACTGAGTCTACTGGGAATGACAGGTCCTCTCCCTCCTCGTTTGCCACATGTTTGCCACACAAGATTAATATGGGCATATCTTATAGGGTTGTTGTACGGACACTAAGTTTGTGTTCAGATTATTGCACATGCAGACTGAGTCTACTGGGAATGACAAGTCCTTTCCCTCCTGCTGAATTAACTAGGTGCAAACTACTTTCCCACTTTGAACTCAATTTGATGCAACTGAAGTAAGATAAGGATAAAGAGAGAAAGAGGAGGAGAGAAAAACTGGGATATTAGAAAAGCAGCAGTGAAAGTTTGATAGGAGATAATTGACCTGGGCTGTCTTTACCAAACCAGGACACTTAACAGGTATGCAGTTAATGACACCATGATAGATAGGTCAAATAGTAATGCATTCCTGTTTGGTATTTAATTTTATCCAGACTGGGTCCCGGTTCCTAACACAAATCGAAGAGTAGTAACTGGTCGATTACCATCAGCCCTTTGTGTCCACAGATTCTGTATCCACAGATTGAACTATCCGTGGATTTGAAATATTACCAAAATAAAACAAAACAAAATCCCCAAACCCTCAATTTTTCCATATTACTACACTATTGTATATAATGGGATTTGGGCATCCACAGATTTGTGTATCTACAAGGAATCCTGGAACCAAACCCCAGTGGATACTAAGGCCCCACTGTATACACATTTACATAAATCGCTGTTTTAAGCAGAAGCAAAGAATAATAAGAAAAGTCAGTTTTGTCTTGAGATCTTGTATGAAGACATCAGGCTTCAACTCTGTAGTGAAGTAGCAGCGGCAAGTTTCAAAGTAAGCATCCTTTTTACATGCTCTTGATTCTTAAAAACCAAAAAGGAAAATATAGAACATCCTGTGGAGAAGAGAGCTTACTCTTATTTTCAAATACACACCGGATACACTGTAAGTGTGGATGGCTGAAAAGAACAAGAAACTATAATCCTGTTATGAGCAACTGAGGTCAAGATTGTACTACACAAAAGCAGTGAAATAATAATAACAGACCATTTAGACCCTTAGGTTAGGTTATTGCTACTGTTTAAAACAACTTACCTGAGGAAGGGAAAGACAATGAAATGACTTCCTTTTAATCCCAGTGGTTTCTGTATTAATGGATATTTGCCTGATTTGAAACACATAGCTTGTGGAAGAAAAGATTTTCTGTAGAGCTTTGAAAGAATGCTATTCAAAAGGTATTTCCTCTTGTTTGTCTCAAGGATCACTTACTTGAACCGGAGCAAACTTTCTTCTCTGAATTTAACTGGCAGAATGCCAAGACACGCACAAGAAATAACCCTTTGAAGCACTCTGGTAGAAAGTATTTTCCTTGAATTGTTGGTTTTCATATTTGGGTAACATACAGATCCTATCATACATATATTTTTTAAAAAAACAGCTTTCCTGCGATCTTGATCCCTGATTGATGCTCTAGCTGGGCATATGAAAGCGAACTTTGATTATTTTCTTTTGCTTTTCCTTTTTTTAAAAAATTTTTTTCAGTTTGTTACTCATAAAAAAAGATGTGCATGTTTGTTTTGTACATTTTTTAATGATTGGGACACAAATGCAGATTTAATTTTTGGAATATTCAAAGAAACTAATTTGTAGTAGCTTTTAAAAATCCCCACAGTGACAGAAGCTGTTTTGGAAAACCTTTCTTACATCATTTTATCCATATCTGTCAACAAAACCTGTCATCTCTTGCACATATTATTTTTAAAGCACCTAATAGGTTGACTTCCACTATTCATCATGTTTCTTAAATTTCAAAAAACACAAATGGGTCATGTTCTTGAGCACAATCTGGAAATGTTGCTTTGTACTCTGCAACATTTCTCAAAAAAATGGAATAGCTGTGCTCAAGTAAGGTCTAAATGCAATCAAGATGGGAAAAGTTATTAATGAGGAATAAGACAACAGATAGGGGAAAGCGCAGCAATTTGCTACTAGAAAGGAAAAGATTTTGACCTCTCCTCACCTTCTGATGAGTTAATTCAATATACACTGCATTAACACTTTTGTTTCAGTTTGCAGCACCTGAGGACAAAGGGGGAAAGTGGGAGTAGAGGAGAAAAAGTGGGACACTTTGAAAGCATCATAAAAAGGGAGAAGACAGATGATTAGTTGAGATTTTACCTTCCAAAGCAGGACAGTTGGAAGAAAATTATGTTTTTGGACAAGTCCCAGAATACCCCAGAAACTATGGCCCCTGAATTCTGGGATCCATTGTCCATACATTGACATTTTCAAACTGGGCTCAAAAGTTCTTTTTGAATCTTTCTGCAAATGTAGTTTTAAAAAAGACTTACTACTGAATTTGTTCCCACCTTGACCTCAA